GTCCACTTCGTTCCCCCTCGTTATCAGGACTGGGCGTTTCCCGTCGGCCTGTGCGGCCATTTCGTCTTCGATGGCGATGGGCGTTGACGGAAGCTCCGGCCCCATCGGTGTTTCGGGAATTTCGTGGAACTTGTCTTTGTTGTGGTGCAATATGGATCGCTTCGAGGGTGATGTGCTGATGGTCTTCGTAGTCGCCCTATTCGTCGTGAAGAGTCGTGGGACCTTCTGCAACAACGGCCGTAGTGCTGGAAGACTCGCGCAAAGGATGGCGCAGAATTCTTCAATGATGGACCAAATGACGATGTCGACATTGTCCCAAGTGGTATCAAATGTGCTGGAAAACATGACGAGATATTTGAGCCTAACCATGGTCGTTATGCATGCGCTGTGTTTTGTTAGTCGACTTTCGGCTTCCAGTGCAGTGTGTCCTCTCAACTTACAAAGAGCCCAGACTGAACATTAAGCCTAATGCAATTTTCTTGCGAATATTGAGCTGAAGTTTGTACAGCTCGGGTATCGGTAACACCAAAATTACGAGATCCTCAACAATGCTGAACACCGCCCCCGCGTATCCGATGGCTGTAACGTCCAAGCATTTGCGGTTTGAGTTACTTCTATCCCATACGGAAGATATTGGCGTGCATTGAAAGACGATAGTGAGCAAGAAGATGAGGCCGTGCAGAAGCAGGAAAATGATAAAGTACCGGACCGTGAGCTGGAACCATTTCGCCGGGAAGATGCGCGAGAAGAAGAGCAGGATCGAAATCTTCGCAAAGACCTGGATGAGGATGTAGATCTGCTGGACGGCGTAGAACAGCTTGATGAGTTTCTCGCCGGAGATGGGGTCGACGTTCCAGTAATGGGTCCCGAAGCCTAGATCGGCGCTCGCAATCTCGATGCCGGCTAGGGCAGCTAGAAGAATCTGACCCTTCATCAGCTTCAGGGTCGTCCAGTTGATCACGGACTATTGTACTGACTCACCGTTGCGAAGATTGCCGTCCAGTCGTCCCACCACAGGCGACGAGTAATCATCCATCTCGAAAAGCATCGTAGCGCAACGGCTGGAAAGGTAATAACCGACAGGGCGATGGCGATGGTCTTGACTTCTTGGCTTCTCGACTCTTTTGGGTAGGCGGCGCAGAGGCTGCCCAGAAGTTCCGCGGCAGCTAAGCAAGTAAGTTCGTTGTTCACGTTCTCGTCGGCCGATCTAACATACATATTTGGTCCTTGAAGTTGCAGCTGAGTTGCACGCATGTCGACAAATCCGACTGAAGATCAACATTCGGACATAGGCACTCCGAGACGGTCGCAACCGAAGTCAAGTTGCAATTGCCCTTCGTGATGGTTTGGGTGAGGCATGGAAGCTATCGTGGTTCTGGTCAGCCCTACCATTGATCGGAGAATATTTGTCGTGGTCCACGGCGGGAATGCAGGGAACGATGCAGGGAAGCAAGCAAACAGGCACTTACAGAACAACTGGGGACCTGGGAGAGCAAACCCGTAATGCTCTGCGCCTCAACCGCCGAGATCAAGAACCATAAAAGAGACAGTGACAGCAGCAGCCATCGGCCATGCTGCCGCTGTCTCGCATTCCTGATCATCGCCTGGATATCTCGAGTGAAAGCATGCGCGAAGAACAACAAATCGACATGGGGAAATAACAAAAACCGCGAAAGGTTCAAAGGGAAGAGACGGGGGGGATGGCAGTCAAGAAGTAATGGAATCCACTTCCCACGACGACGACCCAGGGGGGGTCGAAATTCCGCCCGCAACGACCCTGCTTGAAATGAACGAACCACACCTTGTCTGCCCGGCTGCCACTTAACGACGAAGAAGAAACGCAACGCAGTGGGCAGCATTGTGCCCCTCTGACTTGGTCTATGGTGTCGGTGTGTAGCCAAGACCGTAGGCAAGTAGACGAGACGCACCGCCCACCGGCGCAATGTGCAGCAGTGTGTGTGATATGGCACACACACAGGCATGCATTCCACAATTACCCACTCACACACTTACACCAACCAGCTGCCAGCATCGTGCTGTGCGTCTTCTCTGCTCCTGCAGTGCACCATCTAACACCGACGCGGCAGACTTCCGGGCGATATCAGCCAACAGGGCTAGTCGGCCGAAGGACCACCAGGAGGAACATGCAGGGAATCCACATGGCGCCAGCTCTCCCTGACACACGCTTCTGCATGAACCCTGTACCGGCGATGGTTTAGGACCAAGAAGCAAGCTGTCAATGCGTCTAGAAACAGCTCTGTTCTATTGGATGTGGGACGCTGCTCAAATGGTGGTGTCCCCCTCCCGCACGTCGACCTGCTCTAATCGTCTGTAGGCGAGGGAGACCAGCCGAAGAGGCTGCTTCAATCGACTTCAACTGCAACCTTGGGATACGAAAATGTGTCGGCTAAGGGACGGGAGGTGGTATTGGGGTCGGGTTGGGGGCGATGAATCGGGAAGATGTTCCCGGTGATGGGCGGGAATAGGGCCCTGTCAGTGCGGGGGGCCGATCAATCACTAACGACATGCCAAAATAGGCGTTCCACCCTTCTCTATCTCTCTTTTTCTCCGCCCTCCCTGCTCTGCTCTGCTTCCTGGTCAGTGTGGTCCTGGAAGAAGAAGAGCGATCTGCTCGGGTCCTTGCGCATTTGCTATCTCATCTCAGCCAGGGGCAGCTCGTTGCTGACTGGCCGCCGACATGAGACTAGAACCATCAACGCCACATCGGCAACGGCTACGGATCGAGCCAAGTCTGAACTGCACGAGGTCTGACCGAGGTGCTGAAGAACAATCCACATGACTCGGAGGCCAGGGGGGAGGGCAAAATACCCAGGTCTGGAGCGACAGCCTGGTCTGTCATTGTCATGTTGGGTCAAAAAGAGGAAACAAAAGGCGCGTAGGATCGTCCATCAAACCCCTTCAGGATTCGGATCCCTGGGCTTAATTCTCCGTGTTCTACATGCGCTGGATGATGCAAAATCCATTATCAAGCAGCGCCGCCCAGGTCATGGACGATGCAGAAAATGGGCTTTTCGAAGGTTTCCCGCGAGGAACGGGAAGGGCTGCCCTCCTCTACGCATTCCATTCATTCCAGAACCCCCTTGGGCAGAAAGTCAAACAAGAGCGGAAGCGAGGCGCGCCTCTTCGCTGCGTAGCTCTCTCCCCGACCCTCCAAGACGCCCTAAAAATGAGCCGAACGACATCAAACCATGGCCGAACTCTGTTCTTTCGACGGCACACCGGCGCTACAATTCTACTAGCGTAAGGGTCTCCCGCCGCCTGGATCTGCCGACGACGCAATGGTCGTTGAAGAATTTCCGGAATTAGTCCTGGGGGCGTTCATCATCCGCATCGTGCCTGCATGTTCCATCCGCGCGCTAGAATGCCCAGGTGTCGCAGGAACACTGAGAGACAAACGGCAGGATAGAGTTTTTCTCTGCTTCGAAGAAGCTTCTCCCGTTCCGTGTTTTTTGCCCCCCTCAAAGTGCAGCATACCTTGATCCTTCGAGTCGTCATTCCCGTCGTGTCGGGCGCAGATGGGCGTCACGACAGGAGGATCGGATGCCGGGTTGTCTCTTCGATTCGAGGGCATTCGCAGCCGAAAAAGGCTGAATAGTAATCCGTCAGCGCTTCGACTGTCCATTTACATCCTCTCTTTGGCTGAACCGTTCCATTTAACCTTTCACCAGTGTGATAGATGAAGCATGGGGTTTCAGAAACCTCCCATAACGAGGCGGCGGAAACTCCGCGTCTGACGGAAGATGTCTCTGTCAGCGAGGTCCAGGCCGGTCTTATTCCCAGAATCTTCCCCACACAGCTGAGCTTCTTCGTAAATAAGCTGCGGACTCCTTGCGAGGAGGTTGTTTGATCGTCGAGCGGCCGCGGAAATCTTTCCGGGCTGAGAGGAACGAGGGACTTCCTTCTTGCTTTAACACCACAAATGCTGTATCAACAGTATTCCATAATGCGGCTTGAACGAAGCGGCACCAAAAATTGCTCAAAGCCGGTCTCGTGCAATAGATTTTGAGCTATCAACATGCCATACTGTAATTTTGCCGTCTTCTTCGACCTCGCCTACAGCCTCAGTTTCAGCCGCAGCCCTACCCATCTGCCTGGCGATTCAAGATACTCAGATGACTTTCGTTTCTCAGCCTGTCAAATGTCTTCAGACAATTCTTGCTAGTCGGAGTCCGCGGATCCGCAATGGTCAAGCAGGCGACAGAGTCATCGAAAACTCAAGCTTGTTCGTCCGCTATCCCTATCCCTACTCCTATCCCGCCTGACATTCCGCGGTTCAGCATCACCCGCAAACGCCCCGACCACAAGATGGTCAGACACACGACCCAAAAAGGCCGGGCGTTGGACCACTTCAGCAGGAGGCCAGACCGCACATGGGAACGTGCCGCCCCCTTCGAGATCGAGAAGCTTCGAAGATCACTCCACGCCTGATCTCACGCCTGATCTGAGAAGCAAACTTTGACGTCCTCGGGGTCCTGAAGCACCCGATGGGCTTTGCTCGGAAACATGTCCCCCTTCACGGACCACTTCCGTTGGCACGCGGAAAAAGCGGGTGAATCTTCACCAACGGATGCATAGAAGGCCATACCGCGTTCCACCCGGACGGTCCACCGGAACTTTGCCCGGCTCATAGACGCTCATGGTGTGGTCCGTGAGCTCCACAACGGGAAGTCTTCGGCGCCGCTTGCCTTTCGGCCGGCGAGCCGATCGTCTACATGGAAGCGCCCGGATGTACACCACGGCGAGACAAGGTCTGCAGCTCTATCTGACTCATTTTATTGCTGATGGCGCACCCAGAGCTCGATCTATGAGGTCGATGGAAGTGTTGTTTGTTTTCGAGTATTCCATTCTAAACATTCCGCTTCGTTGATCCATCTGGACTTACATGTTCGTCCATTACCGACATTCCTTTGAACTCCATCGCTTAATCATTCGGAAATCTAATACCGCGCGGAAAATTAGGAAATAGGAGCACACCATGATCACATAGCAATTCCGAGAACTTGGTCTGCCTTTGACGACTGGGGCCCCCTATTCCAAGTTCGCCCATACATGTCAATGCGGGAGCTGTTGGAACTCATATCATGGCGCCGATGGTATTGTTTGACGGCGGGTGGCGGCATGAAGCCCGGCATGCTGAAAGGCAATGGACCGGGCGGGGCAACGGGAAGGCGGGCTTGACTCTGGCGTTCGTGACGTTCCTTCTTCTCCCTGAGTCCGCGTTCTGCTTGCTCGAGCTTGAGCCAGTGGAATTCCGATACCGTCGTTGTCTCTACCGGCTGGTCCTTCCATGGTGTAGCCATCGGCCGGATGACTCGAGGAGCCACGGCACGGTTGTGGGTGGGCTTGCCGGGCCACACGGTATATCTCGCCGACCTTCCACGTTTCTTGCAAGGCTTTACGAGGTCATCGTCGAAATTCTTCCTTCGATGGGCGCATCTCGTGAAGAGAGGGACGATCGGCGGTATCGAAATACAGACGATGGCGATGGTGCACTCGGCAATGGAGCACAGAACCCAGCTGACCCAGTTGTCTATGAAAATTCGGAGTCAGTATGTGGAGGTGTGATGCAGTTGACTCAGAGTCTAGGCAGACCACTTACACGTGACATCTACCTCGTTGAGAGTTTGTAAGAAAACAAGCTTAACTATAATGGCAGCACACGCACTGAGAGCCCATCAGCGTCTGGCACATTAAGGTTTGCGATGAGCAACTTACAGTCCAGCAAAGACAAAGAGAATAGTGAGCGCAATTTTCATTGTCGTTGACAGTTTCTCCAACCTCCAGAAGTACGGCAGAGGTGCGGTGCAAAGCAGAACATCAATGGCAATACCGATCGCCGTGCTGACTTTCAAGAAGTCGAAGAAGGGGTAGCAAGACGCGCCGCCAATCGTGGTGTCCCAGGCCGCCGAGACCGGCTTGCATTGGAAGATCACTGCGAATACGGACGCAACAGCGAAGCCGCCGGTGAGAGCTGCGGCACCGTACATCGCGTATCGCATGGTGTTGCTGGTGATGTATCTGAGAAAGGAACATATGGCTGAAAGTCTGGCGAAGGCTATTGCACAAGGGTACAGCGTGTTCTCGATGAACATAATCTAAGCCAGGGTCAGCTTCGTAAGTCCGTTTGCATCGGCGGCTTCATCGAGCCACTGACCATCGTGAGATTTCTCGTGTTCTCAGGAAGAGCCTCGAGGTCGAGATTCCAGTAGTGTTGTCCCAATCCCCAATCCATTGCTGACAGGACCGTCATTAGCGCTGAAGTCCCCATGACACATTAGCCACATACCTATGGGTAAAAGCGAGCAAATGCCAAAGGTAAAGAGTGCCGCGATGATAACCAGCACATCGTCGCTGAAGAAGTTCCTCGTCACCGTGCAACGGACGATGACTCGAACTGGTAGGAACAATCCAACAAGAACAAACGCCGTCAAGTTCACTGCCCATATTACCGTCACCAAATTCGACTTGTCGGTAACCTCCCCATTCATGTTGATCGGCGTGGTGCCGTTGAAAGTGATGTTGGATAAGTGGACCAGCTGTGGTCCGTTTCCGTATTCGAGTTTCATGATGGGCGTAGGCAAATGGTCATCGTCGTGTAAGCCAAGTCGTCGGTAGAGGCGAATAGTAATCGATAGTCAATATCTTTTAGTAATAGTGAAAGTGAAAGGAATGGAATTAACGAAACAAAAGAATATTCCAGAGTCAAGGAAAATGTGTTCACCGAGCGAAAGTGCGCCGCGTGACGGGAGGGCGCCGGCATTTCTACACTTCTTGTTTTCTCGGGTTTCGTTATGACATCAAACAACAGAAGCCACGCGGTTTCACGAGTGATAAAAAAGCGTATGCGCTTCTATACGCGCCATGAAGCATATTCCGCCGAGTCGCCGCGTCAACGGGAGCTAGCCGTAGCACTGAAGCTATGATTCCGAACAGTTGCAGATGCGCGTGCGTTCTCGTGAATCCTTCGCGCCATGGAAGCTTTCTGAATGCCCTCGGAGTGGTCTGGGCTCTAATCTTTCTAAGCTTGACATTTCCTTGCGGTTGAGAGCTCCTTATGCAACATGCAAACGTGAGATCGCGATGATGGCCGCTGCATTTCGCCTCGACAGATGCCAGAGGAAGCGATGACCGATAACATTGTGGTAGAAGCCAGTCAGCTCAGATGAAGTGCCACAGAAGGACTCCGTCTGAAATTAGCAATTTTAAAGAAACGGTTCCTTGTAGGTCGGCGAGGTTGAACTCTAAAAGCTTTTAGTCGTGGGGGATCATGGGCTAGTGCCTGGCTAAGGCGCGTGCATTGATGGTTTAGCTCCCACTTCTTCCTTGAGTACGGCTCACCTGACGACGCCAGGGCGTCTAAAAGTGATGTTGGAGACGGAATTTGCACGTGGAAGGCCCGTTTCCATGAGCCTTGGTCGGTAACAAGTGCCGCGGAGGGAGGATGATGATCTACGCGGGCGCGCTTTTGACGCGTCGGCAATTCATGCTCGTAGGGCTCTAACTACATGAGGATAATGGTGTATGGCGGTTGCAAGGCGTAGTGCTGGGGTTCCAGATGAGACGATGAAACTTGCCACTTAGAAACAACTACCCTTGAAACGAAGATCTCGTGATAAGGCCGAAAAGGAAATGTTCAGGGGTCAGATGAAAGTCCCCAGACTGGCCTAGGCACCATTGACGTGTTTTTAGTGCCTCAAATGCACACTGATTTTGATGATGATCAGGAAAGCTACGATAGCTGGGCCAACTTCTGATGCAGCGATGTTAAATACTTCGCGCCAGTCTGGTCCTGCACATCGAAAAATCCCCTGTATTGAAGTCACCAAAGTTGCGATGAATTTCGAAACATGCCGATCTATCACACCAATCATATTCTATAATATCTAGCCTCATTGCTGGCTCACGATCGCCGGACTATCTCATCAAATTCCAGAGAGGCTGGCCAAAAGACGTCGGTGATTATGTCAAATAAAGACGCACATGAGAAAAAAGGGACATCACTACCAGTCCTCCAACGGGGAAAGCCCAACACCGGCGAAATACTTGTTCACTTCGCTGGTTGTGTTGTCCCACATTCCTCTGATTTGCTTTTGGTCTTTTGACACCGGATGAGGCGTCCCAATTTCTCCAAACGGCTCGAGATATTTCCCCTTGAAGCTTTGAGCGTTGTCGCGTACCGTCTTTGCAGTAGCTGCGAACAACGGTGTCACGGTACCCTGATCAACCGTCAGGAATGACGAGATTCTGACAAGTGAGAAGACGGAACCGCCAATCTCCTTGCAGCCGTCGCTGTCCACGCCACCGGGGTGAACCGAAATGGAGAGGATGGGCACCCCCTGTTCATCCATTAAACGCTGCAGTTCCTGCGCGAACAGCAGGTTGGCAACCTTGGCAGCCCCATATCGAATCATGTCCACCTTGAAAATGTGCCGGCTAGCGAGTCTCCAGTGCATTGGGTAGTAAGGGACGGGGTCCCTCAGGAAGGACGAAGAGTCGAAGACAAATGTGTAGCTCTGCGGGAACATGGCATAGTTGACGTTGGAGCTGAGGGTTATGATTCGTACGTCAGAATTCTTTTCCTTCGTAGCGTTCTTGAGGAGCGGGAGTATGCTGTTCGTGAAGACGAAATGGCCAACATGGCTTGACGGGTATCAGTGTACGGTTACGGAAAAGATGACCTGTCGCTTGCTGCTTACCAGACCGCCATGTGCCATTCCCAACCAGCACCCGCCGTCTCCGTTGAAGCAGTGCAAACGCCAGCATTGTTAACTGTGAAAACGCTGTCAGATTAGGCATGTGTCCGGCCACGCGAGGGCAGGAGGGTCAGCCCACTCAAGATGTCCACCTTGTTCTCCTTCTGTTTCAATTCTTCAGCGGCTGCTCTAACGCTTTTCAAGTTTGACAGGTCAAGGGGTAGCCATATCACTTGATCCTGGTCGAGTTCCGGGTTGCCGATTCGGATGGCTTGCCGGGCCAGCTCCGCCTTGTCCTCCGTCCTTGCCGTGAAGTACACTCTCGCACCGTGGAGGGCAAGGTACTTGACGCACGAAAGACCAATGCCTGAACTGGGACAAGTCAGATCCTGTGACGCTCAATGACACGCATGAGTCGACCAACTTACTTCGCGCCGGTCACCACCACGACCTTTCCCTGAAGGTCCGGCATGTCAGTTGTCGGGCTCCACGTGCCAGGCATGTTGAAAGCGAAAATGAATCAGGTTAGTACATGGACTTCGACTGTGGGGGTGGAGTGAAGAAGGAAACGTAGATTAAGGTGGTCCGAAGATCCAGATTGTTGAGCAAAATAAAATCGTTTTGTATTTGTTTCTTCTCTTGTAGCTTCAATGCCATTGATGCCGCGCAACTTGATCCATCGTGAGTCGGGATTCTTGAAGATGCATTTTCAATCTCGGAGAGAAAGGCACAAAGTCTTTCCGATATCAGGTAATCAGTCAAGCCGGCCAGACCAGAACAAGATACCCAGTCAAAACCCCTTGTCGTCAATACTGACTATGCCTATCTAGGATACTGCTTTGGACCAATGAATCACCCTTGTCGTCATCCAACAGTATTAGTTTGCCAAGACCGTCCGGAGTCGGGATGATTGCACAAAGAACCGACAAAAGACGCCAATTGGCCAGCCTGATGTTTTCGTCTCCGCTGAGTCCACATGCCGCCCCGTTCCGTCGGAGACGGCGCCTGAGAGCAAGGGAGGGGCAACAACTGAGGGGATGTAAGGGATGTGGATGCTCGTCGTTGGTTTCCACCGACCACCAACAACACCAGGCAACGCAGCAAGCCTTTTGTTTTTGCTTTCCCAACAGTGTGAGCTCAATTTGCCGCAGAAGTCCCCTTTTTTCTCCCCTCGACCATCATCTCAGTCTTTCGCCGCACGCCCCCTCCTCATCGGCTCTATCGTGTTGGGCTTGTTGGAACTTGGATTTTGTTTTTTTCTACCCCGTACCTCGAAGCCAAGCAAGCAAGGACCTCTGTGCCACCACACACATTGTCCCGAATAGGCATATGCGCTGCTAGCAGTCGCCTGATTCTTCCAACAGCGTGTCACTTTCCGACTGTCGTCCTCTCACGGAAGCACTCTCGTTATCCTGAACCCGCTCCCTCGGGTCCCAAGGAAGCTGACCGTTATACCGGGACCCCTCTTTCGTCCACCTCTCCGCCAGTCAGGTGGCCTCAAATCTCTCATTGCCGAGGGGACGCCTCTGTGAACGAGGTCGTGCGCACGGAGGAAGCAGAGTCAGAAGAGCCAGGGTTTGCTCTACGGGGCGTGTTTGTTTTGTTCCCTCGGAATTCTGGGACCGGCCCTCATCGTTACGCCGGACATGTCGCCAAAGCAGAAGGCCAGTGAGGAGGCGCCGGGGAAGCCGTTCATTTTTTGCCAGATCTCGCACCCTGATGAGCAGAGCTCGGCCACCTGGAGAAGGAAGGTCAGGTCCCATGCCGCCAAGAACCCGCAGGCCAGGCGTCTCGCACGAAGCAGCAACGGCTACCTCTATAATGGAACCCAGGTCCTCAGAGCACTGGAGCCACGACATGCCATGTTGGCCTCACGGTCAGGACCGCCAGCCGGCCCATTTTGGGCACCAGGACCCGTCACGCTGCTGGACGCTGGGGACAGAGACCCCTTCAACGTGTCCAAGGTAAAGAGCAGTGGCTTCGAAAAGGAGCTATGCAAAATTTGTAAGTGATTGGTTACCAACAGGCTGGGTCCAGGGGTGTTCTCACACGCACGCGAGAGGTGTCTGTACTTTTTCAGATGCACCTTATCCATCATCCCACAAATTACAAACCCTGGATGCCTGTCTTACATCCCATTCATGCAAGGACAGAATGCTAACTCACACTGTTCAGTCATAGAAGAAAACGTGTTAAGCCGGATAGGACAAGCACCTGGCATGGGCCTTGACATTTCCCCTGCAAAGGCCAAGCGGTTTTGGACTGCCGTATCTCAGCACTGGATCCGACAGGCAAACACAGACATTGGCATGTTTGCCAGTGTGTGTCTCTTCTCATGTCGGCACATATACCTCAAAATGGGCGCTACACACCCTGAAATATTGGAGACTCACGCAGAGATGTATAAAATTGCCCTTCGCGAGAATCTCACGAGGTGTATGGCGGTGAACATGAGGGATAAAAACATCCCCGACGACACGATAACCAAGATGATGGCGCTAATATCCGACGACGTAAGTCTTTCCGACGTGTCATCTATCACATGCAGTGCCACTGACAGCAATATGCAAGACATTACTAGGGAACATGGAACGGGCTCTCCAGGATATGGAGTCCGCAGCAGACCTCGTGAACCTGCGAGTTGGGTGGGTAGATGACACACAGCGGCCAGAGCGCGACCGTACTTTGGGGGGCCTAGAGATAGTATTTTCGAACACAAGCGATGCGGAAGGGGCCCTGGGTGGCGTTGTTTTTGGAGGCGATGGCCAACCGTCTTCGCGAAAATCAGCATCGAAGACGAGACAGAAGCAATTGGTTTTCCACGTTGGTAGGCAAGGATGATGAGATGTGGATGCCAAAGTATCTGATTATGTTTATAATGATATATGTCTATGAGCTTTCAACTGTTCAATTCCCGCAAAGCTTCACCTCCTTTTTCTCCATCCAAGGCTAGTGTTATGAGCTCACACCCTGTGGGTAGGTGAACAGACCCTTTGGATCGTACTGAGCCTTGATAGACTTCAAGCGAGGCAGGTTGGCTCCGTAGTACTGGTTCTGCGCGTCGGCGTTGCTTAGCTGTGAATCGGCGTAGTTGGCGTAGCGGCCCCAGCTGCCGGCGGCAAGCTTGTTCGAGACGGCGGCCATCCAGTTCTGCATGAACCCAACGCCTTGAGCGGTGTTGGTCGGGTATGCGGAGCCGTCGGAAGAGTCGTAGAACTGCCACAGAAGCAACTTGTCCCGATGAGGGTAAGCTGTCGAGGACGCATCGATCTGAGCAGTCTTAGAGTTCTTGCCGCCGTGGACGTCAATCAAGACGAACCAGCCGCGGTTGACTGACTTGGCCTTGCTGGACAGGTAGTCTACAAAGGCCTTGAATCCAGCATTGGGTACCTCCTTGGTGATTAGGCTTGATGCATAGAAGGTGTCGGTCTATCCAACAATAATTGGGTTAGCACACTGTGCCTTAAAAGGAAGCATAAGACATGCAACGCCGAACTTACAGCACTCTGTGGACCCGTAACGTCAAGAGGGTCGCCGCCGTAGTACTCCAACTGGCCAATCCAGTCCTTCTGCTGGATGTCGGCGGTGTCAATGTCGATGCTGATAGTGTTGAGCAAGACGGACAGTGCGTCGCGGGTCTGGTCCTCGTCGCCAAAGTAGAGCCCGTTGATGTGCACGCCGTCGAGGTTCACGGAGGCCTGCATGTTCATCTCGGCGGGCATGTCGTTGGCGGCGTACTTTTGGAAGGCGACAAGGATGTTGACGAGCTGGTTGTTCTTGTTGTAGGGGACAGGGACCACGAAGGTGGTGACGACATCGGGCGCCTGGAAGGTGTTGAACTTGAACTCGGTCACGATGCCGAAGGACGACCCGGCTCCGCGCAGGGCCCAGAACAGATCGGCGTTCTGCGTGGTCGAGGCCTTTACGATCTTGCCGCTGGCAACAACAACGGTCGCTTCGATGATCCAATCAAGGGCCAAACCGTATCCATGCGAAGCCATGCCTGAGCCAATTAGCGAATGTCGAAATATGACGTAGGGGAGAAGCAATGTTTGCGACTTACCATATCCGCCGTGCAGGGAGTGTCCGGAAACTCCGACGCTGGCCGGGACAATCTTTCATCAGCTTTCTTTTCCTCCTCCAAGGGGCCTGTATGTGGAGAAACTTACCCGGGGCAACTGCCGTGCGAGATCGCGCGTCCGCCTTGGTTGAACAGTTCGGTCGCGACGTGACCGAGACGGGCACCAGCCTGAACGACGGCGGTGTTATCGGATTGAAGGGTGACGGCGTACATCATGTCGAGCTGCACCACGACGTGGCCGTTCTCGCCGCCGAACCCGGACGACGAGTAGCTGTGGCCGCCGCCCCTGCCGGTGACCTTGTACCCGTACTGAGATCCACATTTCACGGCCGCCTGGACGTGGCTCGGATCGGTCGCGACCACGATGATGGCCGGGGTGAAGGCGATGCGGGTGTTGTACGGTGAAGACTGGGTAGACCAATCTCCGGAAGATTGGGTGCTGATTGGTGCCTTGGCGGCGTTGAGACACCCTTGGAGGGTGTTTTTCGATACTTTGGCACTGGTGCTGACATCTTGAGGCAGCGGGTTGGCTGCGCACAAGGGAATGGCGGCGGTCGCCAAGTAGAGAAAGACTGAAGACCGCATGGTGGATTAATAGATTAAAGATAGTATACAGGGTTTTAAAGAATGGACCCTATTAGACTTGATTGATTGATCGAAAATAAGCTTAACATATCGAAGATTCTTCACGTTGTTTATATTGTTCCCATTCATCCCGCGGAACGAGCTGTCGGGTCGCCTGTCTGATCGCTGTTGCCCGGAGCCGGCTGCTTTCCAACCGCCACCCTCCGGAGATTCCTAGCATGACCGCCACTTTGTCTTTCAAAACTTCGTATTGAAAGAGCGATCGACCCCGGCTGTGTAATCCACATGCGCCCAGTAAACGAGGTTTGGGCTGACCCGTGCTCAAAGGCGCAGAGACTAGGGCCCAGTTGTGAGTCGGTGGCTAAACATCGCGTGTTCGAGGTTTGGACGCGAAGGGCTTAGCTCGGTCGGGGATCTACGAGCGAGCCCAAAAACACACTAAGGCCGGACCAAACCGCTGGTAAAAGACCCCTCATTCAACCGCAACAGGATTCATACTACTTCTGAGGCGGACATCCAAGCTTTCCAGGCTTGAGATCACCCTTCAGCCGTAGTCTATGCCAAGCAAGCTTAAACAAAGCTCGTCCTAGTGATGACTGCTTTCGCCAAACACCACGACCATGACCTTCCTGATCGCGACCAGAGCACGAAACGTTTCGAGAGTAGCTGGTAAATATGTCTGAAAAGAGGACAACTTCCATTTCCTGCGATAATTCCTGAAACAAGTGGAAAGCTTCTGCCAGCAAGCCATAAGCAGGGGCTGAGAGGTCTAACCAATCGTCTTGGTCTCGTTCCTGCAGAACGATAAAGCCCACAGGAGACAGGCAAGACTCGGCCCATTGAATTTCAATGAGCTCCAGGACTCGATATTGGTGAGCCCGGCTATGAACGACACGTTGTACGAGAGCGCCATAAGCGGAAGGACAGCCTATCATGCTAACGGGAATCCACACTTCTCGTATAACACCATTGCTTACATGCAGGGCATATCAGGCTTACGTTCGAGCTGACCGAGCATAGCCGGTAACTAGGTAGTGAGCCAGTTGCTTATTAGTTTCCGATCGGTTACATCACCTGCCAATTGATATCGTAAATACGGCTTGGACTATTTTACGTGAACACTACACCTGCATTCTTTGCTGGATCGGAATGATCTCTTCAATAACGCCTTGAGATACTTGCAGTTTTTAGCAACCTATTTGGAATGAATACACGTACCTTTGCCCAAATGGAGAATCTGATCTATGGCAACATGACATCACAAACATACGTACACGAGCTGCGTATGAGCATTTGTTCATATTCCGACAATTGTGTAATTTGAGGTCCAAGTGTATCGTATCATTGATTATGACTCTAAGTTCTATTCCTCTTGAACCCCGTTTTCACCCTGTTGAAGTCTCTTCTGACGTTTTCCACCCGCCAACTAAGGAATATACGTCGCGTACTTTGTAAATATGTCATCGGCCCTCAACTTCTCCATGTCCTCGTCTCGTACACAAATAGCTAGCGCAACATCACCGCCCGGCGTCTTCGGCATCAAGTACATGAGGCTCTCGACGGGCGTGAACTGCGGCCTCTTCACACACTCGGGTTTGCCGAGGCCGAGGCCGAAGTCGTTCTTGTATAGATCCATCTTCACCCATGAGCTGAAAAAGATGTCCTTGTACGGTTCAGATGATCCCGTGAAGGAGAAGACACTCTTGTCCGCGGCCCGATCCAACACCGTTGCGAAGGCACGGAATTTGTCGACCACCATCTGGGGGTCGGCGGAAGATCGAAAGGCGGATGCAACCTCTCCCAAGGGTGCGTCGATGAGCTTCTTGAGATTAAAAGAGTTGTAGGTCATGCTTTGACAGAGTCCAGGAAAGGTCTGCGGCACATTGAGGAACTTGCGAATGTCTATGGCCCGCGCGAACTTGACCTCTTCCTCGTGACTGACACGTGAGGCGCGAATTCGCGATACCGATTGCCAGATGAATGCGGTGACTGCATCGTCAGTGCTAACGAATCCTGACTGGATTGACTTCATAGCGAGGCTCTTGAGCGATGAGAGTGAACTAGGTGGGAAGTTGAAGTAGGCCCATCTGCACTTTGGCGGCTCCACGTGAGTTGCTCCTGTGGGATCAGATTTGCGGAAGGCTGCGACGTCTGAATCCGGGATGTCGTGGTCAAGCAAGGGAATGATGTTGTGTTTCGGCATGTTGCCGGTGGTGATTTCCTCGGCAGTGAACGGTTCATTGCGGCACGCTTTCGATAGTAAGTGAATGATCTGGGTCTGTCCGATACCGTCTAATGTCTGATGTTGACCCAGAAACGTGAGAATAAGGCCACCGCGGATGAATGTGGCTTGCGTGATGAAGACAGGTTCTGGCTCTGAGGCTAGCGCAGGGTCGATGGGTAGGGTCGGCCGGGGCGCAACGACGCTCTCATCGAGCATTCTGAAGGGAAAATTGGCTTCCTTGAGTCCTTGCATGGTTGGAGCTGAAGAGTCGCTCCGAAGGTCTTTGATGACCAGGGGTGGTGTTTCCTTCAGCGGTCGAATCTTGAAGACACCAGTGTTGCCTTCGCTGGCGCCTTCGTTGACGACCTGGCCTGCGATCCATGGGAAGTTCTCGGCCAGTCTCTTAAGTCCATCTTCAAGAGTTCTGGTGATCTTCGGGTACACAGAGTCGTCGTTGACTGCAAAGCAAACTGCGATTTGGGTGTAGATGTTTAGCCCTGACTGCTGGCCTTCGACCGGCTCGTCCATGATTGCGGAATTGGTTCGGGTGGTGATTGTGGCTGTAGTGAGTTAGGAGGGCTTCTGCCAATTCCAATGCACCTGGCAAAAATGAAACCGGACGATGGTGGCTTCTGAGAGGCGATACACGTTGGAAATTAGACAGACGGATGAAAGTTGGAAGAAGTGAAGTCGCTTTGTATTGAGTCCAGTTGAGATGTCAACCGGAAGGCGCTACCACATCGAGCAAGGTCGACCCTGGAAATTGAGCCTAACCCTGTAAGAGGCAGCTGCAGCCCAGCCATCCAAGCTTATGATTGACTCACTTGTCAGCTTGTTCATGATGACTCATAATGGCTCACCCCAGTCTGGCATTCACTCGTTGATATGGGGCAAAAGTGCATTTGCATGATTGGGAACTGAATATCTCAGTGTGCAAAGGCCGAAGCAGAAAACTCTTCATCGCCTCGGGTCGGGTTGAAGCTATTGGGCTCAGGAACAGCTCCTTCAGCTGAGCAGCTGTGCCGCATTATTCCATAAAATCGCCCGGGGGATGAATCCTTCTGTAAGACACTGTAAGACACAAGACTCGCCCTGCGAAAATTCAACGGATGACTGCTGTGCCTGTAAGACGGTATCCGCTACGCTAAGCCTGGCCGGTCGTCTTAGCCCCAAGTTCCACGGTGCGTTGGAGCCCCGGCACCGATGTGGGCGAGCGTTCTGGCCTCCGGGCGGCGGTGCATCGGTGTCAAAACCGCCGATGTCTTTTTGAGCTTGCGGCCGGCGAGTTGAGAGTCTTTTCCGGTGAAGTCTAGAGGTTCTTGTATTTAGATCTCGTCCCTCTGCACATTGTGCATCATCAAACAGCACATATCAGCACACACTGCGAATGCGAATACAAGCCGTCTTTTCAGAAACCACATTCTAGAATACAGCATTTCTGTCGTACGAAACCAAATCTCCGACATACTAGACGCTCTCAATAAGACAACAACCATAAGAAATGGCTGAAATTCAAGGCACTTGCGATCCCAGATTCGAAGAACTTCGCACTCATCTGCAACAACTCGTTGACTTTGGCGAAGAAGTCGGCGCCGCGATCGCCGTCAACCTGGACGGTCAAGATGTTGTGGATATTTGGGGTGGTTATGCCGACAAAGAGAACAACCAGCCCTGGAACAAGGACACCATCGTCAACGTCTTCTCGACCACAAAGAACGTCCTGAGTCTCGCCATCCTCATTCTAATCGACCGCCAGGTCTTCTCAATCCACGACAAAGTCTCCAAATTCTGGCCAGAGTTCGCCGCGAATGGCAAAGAGAACATTGAGATCCGCCATATCCTCTCGCACACATCTGGAATCTCAGGCTGGGACGCCGACCGTCCCCTTTCATTTGAGGAGATCTCCAACTTGGACGACGCCAACGCCAAACTTGCCGCACAAGCGCCTTGGTGGACACCGGGCTCGGCTTCCGGCTATCATACCTGGACTTTCGGCCATCTTCTCGGCGAAATTGTACGTCGTGCAACCGGGAAAGCACTCCAAGAATTTGTGATGGAGGAGATTGTGGCGCCTCTTGGCGCGGACTTCCAGTTCGGTGTTGCGGAGCGCGACCTGCCACGAACATCGGACGTCATCCCGGCTCCTCTTCCCAAGCTTCCTCCGGGTGTTGGCCCTCAACCTGGCTCAATAACCTTCAGAACAATGAACCCAATGCCTTTCCCGTCAAACTTTGCCAATGGCGCATCATGGCGTCAAGGCCATGTCCTGTCAGCGAGTGGACACACCAATGCCCGAGCTCTTGCGCGGATTCTTTCAGCCATCAGTCTTGGTGGGAGCGTCGACGGGAAGAATCTTTTGTCGGAAGAGACGATTGCCAAAGTATTCGAGGAGCAGTCGAATGGAGTTGATTTAGTTACAAACATGCCTCTCCGATTCGGTATTGGGTACGGAATTACTGGTGACGGCAACACAGCCGTAACCGAGTGGCTGCCGAACGGACGTGTCTGCTTCTGGGGAGGAATGGGCGGCTCTTTCGCTGTCATGGACCTGGACAGGAAACTGACCATTACATATGTCATGAACAAGATGTCAATGACGGGACTAGGTAATGACGCGTTCAAGGAGTATACGAAGATCATCTACAAGGCGCTGGATCAGGCTTAAGTGATGAAAGTCAATGGGTTGGTCATTATTTGAAATTAATCAAGCCCTAATATTTCTTAATAAGACTTCTACTCGCTTCTCTACCAAACGGACTTGAAAGTTGATAAACATAACTCAACGCTTCTTTGAAATGAGCCATTTCCATATGGACGGGTTCTCCCAGCTGTTCATCTAACTATCAAGGGGATTGATGGGGCCAATAAAACGTATCAATACCAAGAAAACTGTCCTTTTTCCGAAGTTGCTGCATAATACCCAGGCTTTGCTATTTGCAAGGCTGGCTTGCATGTACCACCTTACGGTACTTTTTGAAGTGCCGTTTCAATGGGTAGGTAGCATTGAAGGCATCCATGCTGTCATCGACTTTTGAACCCTTCACTATTTATCGCCCCTTTGTTATGTGCAAAGAGGTTCCTGATGGTGCTTGGAGCTCGAGACATAGCTTCGTTTCATTGATGGTTCAATTTGCCGACTTTGAACTCACGCTACCTGTGGGAACTCTTTAGATCACGTCCGCCCTCCTTTCCACCACACACGGAATACTGAAATGTCTTTCCATTCGCTGTCTGCAAATCTGGTTTGCCACGATCATCCGCCATTATCACTTGGTCGGCCTTCACAGGTCGGAAATCTTCCGTTGCCAGTCCGGCATAGTCCGGTCGAAAAATGAACTGTGGATAGCCGGTTAGTGGGTTTTCATCGGCATGGCCGCGGTCTGACTTACGTATTAGTCCGGTGCGGTTCCAGCATCCAAATCTGACTGGTAGTTTTGTATATATATATACATATTCCTCTGCGCATGTATTGCTGGGGGCTCTGAACGTAGAAATAAGAAAAACGTGAAGCTCAGAGGCGGTCGTCCCCATGCCATATCTCCAGATGCATTCCGCCAATGGTAGGAGGCGCGATGCTTTCCAGATGGTGAAACTGCAAGTCCAACCACAGCTCAATGAAGCGATTCGATCTCATCTTGAACCAGCCAAAGTACCGCTGGGGCATACGGCTGCGGTCTCGACCGACTTGTCGCGAGGCCACATAGTCTGCCTCGACGCATTTGATCCAAAAGTCCCCGGTGGCGACGTCGGTCAGCACCTCGCCGTCGGCGACGAAGAACATCTGTCTTAGAGCCCAGCACGCGTTCGAAAGTGCCTTGCCCGTGCGGATATTGTCGGCGTGGACTTGACGGAGTTGATCCAAGTCGGCTCCCTGGAGCGTTTCGGGGTCAGCGTGGACGCTGAGACGGAACAGCGACATCAGCTTCTTTGCGGCCTCGACTTCTTCCTCGTTCTCACTGGTGTATCGGCCCTGGATCTGGAGGCGCACGTGGGTACGGACATCTTCTACGAGTGCCTCCCAGGCCCTGTCCGAGTCGGGGCCGCCGTAGGCGGTGCGGTAAATGTTGAATCCCCATTCCTTGTAGTCATGGTCTAGAATCTCGTTTGGGTCGTAGATCTGGTCATCCGGAGCTTCGAGCAGCGAAGTGAGCAGGTCTGGTAAGAGGGGAGGGTCATCCATGGTTGGAAATACCGAGACGACTATTTTTTTTCTTTTTCTTTTTGTAAATTACAATGGAAAAAGGAGGGGTTGATGACGTGTTTTTTCCCTTTTTTTCCCTTCGGGTATGTTGGTTGGTGGATGTTGAAAGTCGGATGTAGGAATGCAAGTTGAAGGAGGACGGGCTCTTCAACCTAACCCCGCTAAGGTGTGCGTATCTTGGCCCCTTGCCCTTGACCCCTTAGGCAGTCGGTGTGTATGTGTAACGTCCGATGCACTGCGATTGTTACCGCTGGAGGAATTATGATTAGATGGTCAATATCTTTGCCCAATCTTGGCTTTTCCGTCAAGTCATCAATAACCTCATAGTGTGGCGAATACGCCGAAGTCTCAAGGAATTCCGGTGTCATGCATAAGGTCACATGATTGAACACAACCACTGGCAGCGCACGCTGACTTGATGGGTCGCTTTGATAATCCTATCAAACACAACCCCCCGCGGCCTTAACTCTATTGACTGCACGTCAACTCCCAGTCTCCGAAACCACTTGTTGATAGTATTTATCATACAGCAAAAATGCCAGTGTCTGAGGAAGCCACAAAACAACTGCTTGACGGCATCCCGTCCCGCGTGCGGGGGCCGGGCGGCGCAATCGCCGTACTGAAAGACGGCAAGCTCATCGGGCGACGGGTTTGGGGCTACGCCGACCTCGTCCGCAAAATCCCCATGACCGCCGAAACTCTACTGCCAATCTGCTCAATCTCAAAGCAGATGCTATGCGCTCTCATGTACGATTTGGAGCACAATCCACCCGCCAGCTTGGCCGACAAGGGTGACGTCAAAGCGAAGTTCTCGGACAAGATGACAGCACTTCTGCATCCAAACCTCACCCGTGACGGAGCCCTGACGATTGACCATTTGGCCAACAACCAGTCGGGCATCCGGGATTACTGGGCTCTAAGCGTGCTATGGGGAGCCCAGCCGGAGGACCGCTTCTCGATAGCGGACCACAGCAAGCTCATGATTGAGCGACTCCAGTCGTTCCACTTCGAGCCCGGTATGGAGTACTCATATGCGAACACAAATTTCCACATCTTGGGCCGAATCGTGGAACAAGTGACCGGAGATTCGATCGCGTCGTTGCTTGAAAAACGCATCTTTGGTCCGGCGGAGATGAAGACCGCACGGCTCGCGGCCGATACTGCACAGCTGCCACCTCCGTGTGTCGGATACGAAGGAGATGAGCAGCGCGGGTTCTTCCCTGCCGACAACAAGATCGAGTGGGCTGGCGATGCCGGCGTTGTTGCCTCGCTTAGCGATATGGTTGCTTATGAGCAATACCTGGACCGCATCTCGACCGAGCGGGGTAGTTGGTATGAAGCAGCCTTGAGCCAGCCGTTGTACAAAGACGGGACACCGGCTGGTTATGCCCAAGGGCTAGGCCATGGCAGGATCGAAAACGTCAAAGTAGTCGGCCACAGCGGCGCATTGCGCGGTTTCCGTCTCTACCGAGTCCATGCTCCCGAGGAACGGATCTCCGTTGTCGTCTTGCTCAACCACGAGGGCGGCTCAGCAGCGCCAGCCGAGGAAATCATCCGAGGCCTGCTTGATTTGAAGAAATCAGAACCTGCCCCGGTAGACGCAGACTCGAGCTGGTTCGGTACGTTTCTCGACGAACAGACGCAGCTCGCCATCACCGTGTCCCAAGGCGCGAAGGGCAAGGTCAACATTTCCTACGCCGGGTCCGCGGAGGCGATCAACCTGAAGGATCCGAAGCACGCCGAGTCGCCTGGGATGGTGGCCAAGATCGATGGAAACCAACTGAAGATTCATCGTGTGAAAGAGAATCGGGCCCTGAAGGCGTCCCGCATTCTGCAAGGAGGGACGGTTAATTACTCTGCGTTTGGTGGCGACTTTTACTGCGCTGAGATTGATTCGACGTTCCATTGCCGAAACGAAGGCGGGATGCTTTTTGGTTCATTCAACGGCTATCTGGGACACGGTCCAGCTCATCTTATGAGATGTATCGGAGAGGACGTCTGGTTGATGTCGTGTCCGCGCGGGATGGACGCACCGGCGCCGGGCGATTGGACTGTTGTGTTCCATCGTGGAGATGACGGTTCTGTATCAGGTGCTACCTTCGGTTGCTGGTTAGCTAGGAAGCTGGTGTTTACCAAGTCTGTAGATATTCCGCGGAGATAGCAAGTCTTTCTTTTCTTCTTTCCAGGTCTAGACAATGTGTATGCACAGCACCTTGAGGAGTGGTCTCTTTGTGTCAAGTCATTGCGTCCCTTTTCAAAACTCTATGATTCCATGATCAATACCAAATTAACGCTTATAAACAAAGACTTTGAGATTTATGCTTCTTTGTGTGCTTTGCTCATCTTATCCAAAGTCTCGTTGTCTCGCAACTGATTCTCTGTTCTTTCTCAAGCATTACGATGGAAAGATAGATGCTTTATGTTTTCAGTTGCTTGCATACCCAAACGACTATTATAAAACTTGGATGAACCTGGGTGTATCGCCTCCTGGCAAGAACCTTCTGGCCATTACCAACCAGCTGACAGACTACAGATTTACATATTCGAGTAGCACGAAGATCATCAGACTAACAAATCTCTAGAACCAGACCAAACCTGAAATCATCAACGACCATGTGCCAACAGCTTGAAGAGCTTCTCGTCTGCTGCTCCTCGGTCTGCCGCTCAGAGGAGCACGGTGTCCGCCTACCCCTTCTCCGCCTCATTCCTACACCGAATCCGTTCTACGTCCTCTGTCAAAAGGCCAGCCAGATGGGCTACCGTCCGGACGCCAACTGCCTAGGCCGCCTGGTCTTGAGCCAGCGTCCCGATCAATGCCCCGATTACCGCGCAGCCCCCGGCGCCAAGACTAACAATATCCTCTCATGGACCGCATCCCGAGACATCATGACACGATCCAACTTCCCAACCCACATACACTGCGCTGCCTGCCTGGGCATTGGCCATGGCGGCGTCGTTAATATTCAGCCAGGCTACATGCCACCAATTGGCCAGACAGGCGCGATGCCGCTTCACATCACCATGAACGTCACTGGGGTCCGAAATTGTTGGATCCGAGGTGAGTGGACTTGTTGCTCCAAGGGCGAGTGTCACCCCGGGAACCTGTGTGAGTATCGTGCCGCCGCTGTTATTGCGGCTATGCAACAGAACGAACTTGCCCGAGAGCGCGCACAAGCTGAAGAGCAGGCTCGGCAGGAAGCTGCTCTCGCTCTCTTTGGCTTAAGTCAAGCTGGTATTATCTTCCCTACCCAAGCACCTCACCCTCCCCAAGCCCTTCAATCTGCGATTTCAGAGCCGGCAGCTGCCCCTTCCGATGACATGGAGTTTGAATATGACGTCCCGCGCGCGGACCCTCCGTCGTCCGCTGACAAGGTAGTTGATGATGATGCTAACCAAGCACAGGCTGACAATGGCGAGGGATCTTCTTCAGATGCACAGCCTAAACCATTTGTTGTCGCCGAGAATGGCGAGGTTATCTATGATTGCATTGTGGTTCGCGACCCTTGCCTGGATGGCTGTGAGAAGTGCAATTTTGGGAAGAATAAGCGTCGTCGCCACCAGTAAACAGATTGTTTTGGTGGGGAAAATAAGTCTTGCGGGGAGGTAAGGAACTGGAAAGGTGTGTTTTTGGCGATGTTTTTATTAATTCAACAAGTTCATCTCAACTCCATCAGAAAGAAAAGAAAGAAAAAAATCTTTCCGTCTATAGGATTAGGTTTTGGGAGATTAGTTACGGACGCTTGACGCGCGTTGCAGTGCTAGAGAACTCAAAAGATTCAACCGGCGTCTGAACCATCGCGGTTGCAAAATATTAACCATGTCTGTAGCTTTGACATTTACTAGGTCCAGTCCCCTCTAAATTGGGGACATCCTGAGATCGAGGAGGTGGTTGAGGTGACATCGGCGTTGCATGCGACGGTTCTCCTCATCGTGTTTGATTCGAGAAGTAGGGGCTTTTGTTTCATGGCGACGACGACGATGACGACGCTTGCGATCGGCAATACCAGTATGAAGCACGTATGAGAATTGAGTACGCGGACTTCTAATTGAGCGGTCTGGTGGTCTCAAAGATGCATGTTGATGTTGAGAATAGGCCCTCACGAGATGCCATCGCAACTCATGGCCAAGAAATCATCATTGAAGCGTCACCCGCGTGTTTGACGTCAGATGACCGGGAGGGCCGGATAGAGGGTGCCGGTGGTGGACCGGCACCGATGCGCTGGCGGGGCCCTGGTCGGTTTTTTTCTGCGGAGGACATGAGCTTGATCGCGGCGATCACTGAATGACGGCTTCTTAGGCGACGTCAGTATGTCTCTACGTTGCGGTGGAGGGTTGATCGCCCTTAGCGGCAGATCTCATGATGTCAAGGCCCGAAAATGGTTTCTTGCAGTCTGCAGAGTTGGAAGAGAGAAAGTCATGAGACAGACTCAGGATGTCATCGGGAAAAGCTCTTCCTTTCCGAACTGCAGTTCATCTGGTCAACCCTGAACAAACGAGACCCAAGCTTTCATGCGCTGGGACGCTAGAATAAACATGCAGTGCTGACAGCTGAGCCCCCTTTTCTCGGCAAACGGTCTTGGGGGTGCATGGTTTGTGCCTGTTGCCTGGCTGGCGAAATGTAAAAAAAGACAGAGGCAACAGTCCCGATTAAGGGAGCAGGAATGAACAAGGGACTGTCCTGTAGAGGGCTTCTCTGCTGCATTTCCATCTCATGTCGGGGTGTTCATGCGCCATATTGTGGCAGCGGCAGCGGCTTCGGGCGGCGCACAGAAATGGCGTTCGCGTGGGCGCAGGGGCACTCAGGGAGCGGGCCGAGTGAACTCACGCACGCTGGACATTCTGCTCTTAGCATTGCGCTTAATGTTAAGTTTTGCCATCAACCATTCCCGATGGTCGATATCACTGGAGCGGCAAGTTGCGAGAAAGCTCCATCACACCCCATGTTCTCCTTTACGCCCGGCTACACCGACTCTAGTCCGCAGCCTCGTGACGGAGAGACGAGAAGGCAGTCGCGGGATTAAACTGCGCTTCCTGTGCCTCCTGGGCGCCTCGGTCCAGCCACCTTGGCAAACTGCCGGCAGCCCGCTACGCGGCCCGTCGCAGCCATTGGCACCGTTACCTGCTTAGGGTTGTTCTGCAGGTATCATCGCTAGCTACGGCGGACGACGCGGTAAGGGAGAGACTAGGAGAATAAGCCCGTCCAACGGCTTTTGATCGTCCTGATCACGTTGGCCGACGCAGCATTTGCTTCATCGTGGTGGTGTGGGAGCGAGGAGCAGTTCCATTCATGACAGGCCTTGTCCCTGAACTTCTTGGCACATCGGTGGGGCCAAGACGATGGGTCATTTTTCTCTGTCCCTCGCGGACTTTTCGTTCGTTCAATGCGACCAATCGACTCCGTTCCAGCTGGATCCGTCGTCTCCCATTGGCGTTTGCCCTCAGCATGTCAGCATTCCCCACGAGGAAGCTGATGTCTGCCTGGCATTGACCCTTTGGAAATTGCCCGTTCATGTTGGTTGCAAGTGGGGAGAGCGACTGGGCTGAGTATGAGCCCGAGGCATGCCCTGGGCTAGACTGGGCTGTCATGACCTTGTCGCCCCGTTGGCATTCGGCCTTCGTCTTGGGCGTACCCGCACCCGTCCATTCGAAATGGCGAGCGCGACAGCTCCGACGCTATATGAAGCTTCCACCCACCCCTCTTGAGGCGCCTCTTGTCATGATGTGTCTTGTGTTGTTGTTGTTGTCTGCTCGCCCTTCGTCCTGCTCCCGGCTGTCATTATGAGGTTCTCCATCGCCAGTGCCGTCGCCTTCGCTGCCCCGCTGGCCCTCGCCGCTGACTCTCTCAATTATACGGGAGCCGCCGCGGGGCAGGTCATCAAGGACGGCATCGAGCTGCGCATCCTGCCCGTCGGCGACTCTGTCACCGTGGGGTATCTCAGCACCGATGGGAATGGCTACAGATTGAAATTGCAAGAAAATCTGTCCGGTGAGTTTAGTTGCTCTTCACTCACTCACATGCGAGCAGTGTCTAACATTTCCCAGCTAATGACGTCGTCTTCGCCGGAACTGAATCCTCTGGCAACATGACTGATCCGTACTTTGTAAGTCAGCAATGCATCTCCCGCCTCACCAATCTTTCACATATGCTTACCATAACCAAGGCTGCTTGGTCTGGAAAAACGATCCAGTACATTGCGGATAACGTCCCTCCATCCCTGACGCAGCGCCCAAACGTCATTCTGCTCCACGCCGGCACCAATGACATGAACCCGAACCCTGACATCTCCACCGAAGGCAACGACCCTGCCGCCGCCGCCGCACGGCTCGGAGCCCTGATCGACCAGATGCTCGAGGCCTGCCCGGATGCCACCGTTCTTGTCGCGCAGATCATCAACACCTGCGTTGCAGAACAGCGGCCCCAGACCGAGGTCTTCCAGGGACTTATCCCGGATATTGTGGAGCAGCGACAAAATGCTAGCAAGCACGTTCTTGCTGTTGATTTCGCGGCGCTCGGCGACGGTATCCTACGTTCCGACTGCATACATCCCTCAGATGAGGGATATCGCACCATGGGAGACTATTGGTACGACTTCATCACGCAGATCCCCAAGGATTGGATCACTCAGCCGGTCGGAGACGACCCTGACAGATCCGCCGATGCTGCGTCAGCCAAGAACGTCACAAGCTCTAGCGGCGCCAATGCCATTTTCAGGGAGAACTGGATGCTTATCTTAATAGCTCAAGCATTGTTCACTATAAACGTAATATATAATTGAGTTAAACTTGACATGATGTTGGCTCAACAATTGTGCGATGAAGATAGTGAAGTTGTGAGCCGCTAGCAAATGGTATCCCCTCGCATGAGTTGTCAATGAGTGAATTGATTCCTGGGGTAGCTAAAGTGACAGAGAAGACTCTAAAGTCTCAGTATGAAAGATAGCGTAGTCTCCTCCTTCGGGTCTAAGTCTTTCCTTCACAGTTTGCCGCCTGTGGGCGCACCTTTTTGACTGCCGTATGGAATAGCTTAAGGTTGTCTATTCAACGGTCCGCGAATTTAATGATTAAAATGGTTTTTTTTTTTTTTTTTTTGGCACCATGTGCAGATATTCGACCAACTAACAACAACACTTACGTTTTAGGCCCTTTACTAACATGAATGAGAGGCTCACTACATATCTCACAATAAGAAAACCACCGCGATCAAAGAGTTAATCATGTCTTCCAACAACACATTTTAGCATTATCAACGAGAATTCCTCAAACCATCATTAATGCGCATTCCATCTCATTGCCGGGAGGTGAATCACTCAAACGCAAATATGCGCCGAAGGTATCTTTTCTAATTGAAGTTTCTCATACCCCGCCAGCTACAACTTACAAGCCGCGTCTACGTAAACCCCTCCTCTCATCCAATCCGGTGGTTCAAGGCAATAAGCCAGGCCTGGAACAAGTCGCGATGGTTCCGACCCCGCCTTTTCAATCGATGAGACGTGACCGTTGTTGTCTGGTCATCCTTGCCACAACGGTTCGGGGGCCATCATCGATGCGGGGCTGCTCACCGTGCCCTTGATGATGGTGTCCTTGAGACTTTCGCCGGCGACCGTGAACCCCTCAGTCGGGCATTCGGATGACGTTGGACTGTCACATGCCCCGGAAATTATGAAAACTCAATGAGAATATATCAGTTGAGGTTCGCCCTCTGCCCAGCCTTGTCACACTGAATATGCCTGTCGTTCAGTAAGACTTCTGACGCTCACACTACTACCATCAGCTACAACCAAGAATACCGGTTAACTTCACGATGTCGAATAGGAAGGATCACGGTCTGAAGCAGCACGGACTGTCGGATGACGCTGTGGAGGCTGGACACGACTTCATCCACGATGCTGAGGTCGAGGAGGAGAGGGTGAGTTTGATTCCGCCTTTTTGAATTTTTGGGGACAGCATGCTGAGTGTACCTGTCCAGAGACACAGCGGTGACGCGGCCGCGATGCCTTCCATGGCCTCCACCATGGAGCAGGCCAAGAAGAAGGTCGGATTGGAGGCATCAAAAATTGCAGAGCAGCTTCCTGGCAAAGATAAACTGGACAAGAAAGCTTGACCGAACGTGGCCATGTCGTGTTCATGCAGTTGCTCTTTTTGGATCTGTTGCAAAAGGCGTTCCGTTACAAAAACCAAATTGGCCAAGGACGAGTCCGTTGATGCCGCGCGGGAATTTCATTGGAAACGTTTCTTTTTCAAATGGTATAGGTTTGTAATTGAAAGTCCTTGAACTTTGGATTATTGGTATCTTGGCTCAATATGATTATTCATACGCTTGGCCACTTGTAGTTCAGCCACGTCTCCAGGGTGGAGTTCCACGCTCCGCTGCCGAGTTGAACGTGAACCCACGCGTCCACAAAGTGCTTCCACACAATGTCTCTCGGGATGGCATAGCCCAGCTCCTCAAAGTTGAACGGCGCATCCGGGTTGGCGATGCAGAGCTCGCCCTCGTGCAGCGTGACCTGCAACTCAACCTCTATGAGATCCGAAATCATCGCGTCCGCCGTGCCGTCCAGCACGGCCTGGTAGACAGCGTTGTTGTCCTCCACCAAAACGATTTCGGCGTTCTTCAGGTTCGCGCGGTCAAAGGCCTCGTTGGTGCCGCCAGGGTTGACGGCGACCTTGACACCAGCCTGGTCCAGAGTCGCGAGGTCGGTGTACTTGTCCGCGTCGGCGCAGCGTATGCAAGCCGTCTTGCCGACGCGCTGGATCGCCGCGGAGAAAAAGGCCGTCTTGGCTCTTGCGAGGGTAAGGCTGACGCCGCCCATTGCGATGTCGAATTTGCCCGCTGCCAGGTCGGACGTGATGTTCGCCCATACTGTCTTGATCAGGCGAGGCGGACTGGGAAGACCGAGGGCGTTGGAGAGTGACTGCGCTGCGTCGATGTCGGCGCCAATGTAGGTTGTGTTGATTGCGGTGGTATTTGGCAGAGTGGTCTGGTTTGTGACGAGATACGTGAAGGGCTTGTAGTCTCCTGTTGTCCCAACGTTGATGTATCCACGGGCGAGGATAGTGTCGAGCAGGGACGTGATGTTGGCGTAGGCAAGTGGCTCTGCGAGCTGTTGCGCACTGGCGCAGACGCTGAGGGCCGTTGCGAGCAGGGTGGGTGTCTTCATGATGACTTTCGTGATGCTTGACCAAATGAGAAAATATGAACCATCCGCCGAAGAGTGAGATTCCATCGCAGGCTCGTCTCTCTTTATTAATCTGTCTCCAGGCCGATCCCGGGGCCCCGCAACCTCATTTCCCGGCAGTGGACCCTTATCATGGAATTGGAGTCTGCTCACGATATCGGGGAGTCTTTCATTGGTCAATTGGATATGTCAATTGGCGCCAAGGTCGCTAGCTGGACTGGCGTAAGAGTCCCGGTTGTGACTGAATCATGAAAGTCTGCCGTTCAGTGAGCTTGCGATGAACGATCATCCGGGGCAAGGGGAATGTCACTGAGATGCCGCACGTGTTGTTGCATTCGTCACACTCCTTGCTTTGAGACTCACATGCATCTTGTCAATCAAGGGCCCACTATTCAGCAAGGGTTTCCGGATTGTCGGGTCTGTTCCGTTTTGAGATGAACATCATCGGTCTTGAACTAAGTGAGTCATTATCAGTCCACGGGTGCATGTTTCTTATCGTGATCAGGTAAAGGCCTGGCTTGTGTTGGCTTGTTTGTCTTGCTGGGACGATTGTTAGTCCTGCAGCCGAGGGGCGCATATGCCCTGGCTTCTGATACTGGTCGTCCCAACTCGCGCGGACCTGCTGATTTCGGCCATGGCGACATTCTGACTGCCACACTCTGTCAGTTCTGGGCGCGCTGTTGCCTAATCGCCAACACGCGGGTCGGCTACGCTTCCCACCGAAACTCACCGTCAACACTCACTTAAGAACACAAGCCCACAATGAAACTCAACAGCCTCATGGGTTTCATATTCAAGGCTAAGCAGTCGATATCTTGAACATCACGCCCACTTGAAATGTCGGACCAAACTCACGCAGTCGTTAACCTTCTCCTGGGGCCTGATGACTATGAGTCCTACATAAAAGAGATTATGTGCTTGCAGTACAACCGTGAAGTGAGTACATGTCTGATAACGCACCTCCGTAGGGCCATGCTGACGGGAAAAGGTTACTGAAGTGGTAGCTCTCCGCCATAACAACGCCAGAGTCTACAGCATAAGCCTAACCGAAGCGCAACATGCCCCGCCGCCATTCAATAAACGCTTCGGTGCCTCTCCCCTGCCCCCCAATGCCACCAAAGTCATCATGCGCTTCTCCGATCCAGCATCGATGTTGAACGAGGAGATCCGCGTGCAGAACGAAGTCGCGGTAATGTCCCTTGCAAGAGAGGCTTTGAAGCAACTTGATCCTTCCCTCGTTCCCGAAATTTATGGCTGGCGCCCCTTTTCCGAAGGGCTTGGATGGACTCTCATCGAGTTCAAACAAGGTGTGCCTCTGGGCGATAAGTTCCCCACAGTCGACGGCGTGAAGAAGAGAGAAGTGTTGCGACAGATTGCTCAGGTCTTCAAGCATATTCAGGCATACAATCTTCCTCAGTCTGCCAGAACATTTGGCGGCCTCAATTTTGGCCCTGATGGAAGCTTGACTGGCGGGCCCACGCCCATTGCAGGTGGCGGACCTTGTACTTCGCTGTCAGATCTCTATCAAGAGTACTTCAATACTCAGATTGGATTCGCCGACAGGTGTGACATTGTCCAGGGTTGGGGGGACTCGGATCTGAGAGCCCGATTGGATCAGTTTGGGTAGCGCTGCATACTAATCAAATAAGTTAAATCTGAGGCTTCGACTTAACTATTTGACTTAAAGATTATAACGAACTTAACTAATTAATAGATTTAAACTTAACTTACTAGATTTAATATAAAATTACCTAATTAGGAAGTTAGTAATACTATTATAAGGTCTCTAGGGGTTAGATATATATACTATATAGTAATTTAAGGTTATATTAACTTTATTAACCCCTCTTTATATATATATAGCTACTAATAGTAACTTAGCCGCCTTAAACCTAGTTCTAGAGGTATTAAGTCCTCTTAAGTAGAGATAGCTTTATTAATAGCTTCTATAAAGTTAGTATAAGCTTAATAAAGCTAAATACCCTCTTATAGTTTATTATTATTACTAAGATAGTAAAGATATTAATAATAAATCTACTAAGAATTAGGAAGGTCTAATAATATAAAATCTACTACTTAATAAGGTTATTAATAAGTTAAATAATTAATAGATAATAATATTAATCTAGTTTAGAAACCTTATTATTAATAGCCCCCTAAGTCTTATTAGCTAACTATTAGCTATATTTAGAGTTTTTATAATATAATACTATTAAGATTAATATAAAAGAACCCTCTAGAGGTATTAAAGGTATTAAAATAAGGGCTACTTTATAATACTACTATTCTTAGTATTTATAAAGACCTTACTTAGTATTAATAACCTAAGAACTTATTTCTAATATATCCTAATACTACTTAAGCTATTATAAGCCTCACTTAAAGTATAAAATTATAGTAATAATATAGATAGGTAACTCTCTAAACTTAATATAATATTTATTAAGTACTTTTTAACTATTAATAATAAAAATATATAAGTAGATATTAAAGTTAAAGTTAACCTCACCTTAAGGGCTTTAAGACTTATACTTAGAGTAGGTATAAGTAGAGATACTATTAATTAATAAGGTCTATAAAGATATTACTAATTAACGTAAAGATTACTATAATAACCTTATATACTAAGTTAACTATAATAATTAACTCTATAAGGCTATTTAATTAATCTCTTTATTAGTAAGAATATTATATAACTTCTATTAGTCCTCTAACTTATCTAAGAGGTACTTTATACCTATAAGAACTTCTTAGAGTTAGTTATACTTATTACCCTTACCTTAGCCTTTATATTACTTAGTCTATCTATAGAGAGGCTTAAGAATATTATTAAGTTTAATAAGGATATACTAATCCTTATTAGAGAGGTAATCCTTATTAGGGAGATAGTCTACTAAGTTATAAAAAAGCTTATTATTATATAGGAAGGTATTAATCTAGCTATATTTAAGTAGGGCCCTTTAGATTATTATATATATTAAGTTCTATTTTATAGCATTATTTAGTATTAAGTTAAGGTCTTAAGATAACTCTTTAAAAATTATAAATATATTAAATTAATTATTAGCTTTTTTACTAAACTTTAAGAACTTCTTTATATATTAAAGTAATAATCTAATATATTTAATAATATTATAGAGTTTACTAATAGGTCTCTTACTCCTCTAGAGTATTATATCTACTTCTAAGTTACTAATATTAATAAGATACTTAGATTAATCCTTAAAAATATCTTAATTAACACTATAGATAATAGCTTAACTAATTAGATTAAGGATATAACTATAGTATTAAATCTATTAATAGATAGTATCTTTTTTATTATATAATAGTAAGATAGATAAATAAAGTACTTTAATATAAGTATTATTATTTATAGTATTATTATAAACTATAAGTTTAACTTAGTTAAATATTCTAAAGTTATTAATAACTATATATAAGGTAAGGGTAATATTAACACCTAAGTAAGTACTAAGTTAATAATAGAAAGCTAAGAGGTATTATATCTACTTACCTAATTTATTAATAAAGTAGCTAAAGATAGTAATAATTATATATTAATTAGGGGAAATCTATAAGTTAAATAATAGATATATTTAGCTAAAGGTATCTTATATCTCCTACTTAATCTATACTATCTTAGATATATATAAGTAATTAAGTTAAAGCTTTATACTCTCTCTAGACTAATAGACTTAATTACTAATATTATAATTAAATAGATAGAGGATATACTAAATATATTAGTTACTAAATTGTTACGACCTGTTATGTATAGATAATAGTTGACTGACCTACTTAGGCGTTAAGCGGCTAGGATAGGATATTTATACTATAGGATTATAGGAATAATAGGGACTTACTTAGTATAGAAGAACTATAGTATAAATTACGTAATAATAAGATAAGGAAATGATTAGTAGAGTATAGGAAGGAATACTTAGTGATTAGTTAGCTATACTAACTAATTATAATCACCTTATATACCTAAGTGATCACTTTTAGGTAGATAAAGAATACTATTTAGGATTTATATATAGTATAACCCTAAGCTTAGTTTATAATTAGACTTCTATAGCTTTTTAGTAATTAACTTAATATTTATCTTTATAGATACTTTTAGTTTACCTTTACTGTAAATTACTTATTAAGTCTAAGACTAATTATTTTAGCCTCTAAAGACCTAATCTACTATTAGCTTATAACTTATAACCTAAGTCTATAACCTTAATATATTATTATAATATATTAATCCTTAGCTTCTATTAGTAGACCTTACTATTAGATAGCTAACTATAATATTTTAATTACTCCTATTTAGTAAGTTAACTATTAATACCTATTAATAGTAAAACAATAAGTATATTTTCTTATACTTTAGCTAAATCCCCTACTTTAAGATCTTTATCTTTCTTATATAACTAGCCTTAGAGTTTAGTATAGAAACTTATTAATATTAAAGATTATAATATATTAGACCTTAAGTATAACTCTAATAGAGAAAGCTTATTTACTAAGGAAGGTTATAAAAAACTCTAATATATTATCTAGAAATAAAAAGCTAAATCTAAAGAAATATAGATATTTATAAATAAAAATAAATAAGTTATTAAAAACCTTAATAGATAACTTTAGAACGCTATAGTAGCCTTTAAAAAACTAAAAAAAGATATTAGAGGAGATATTAACCTTAAAAAGGTCTAAGAACTCTAAAAAGAACTTAATACCTTCTAGGCTACTATTAATATTATTATTATTTTAATTAGAGGATAATAGAAACTTAAACTTAGTACTTTAATTACTTATAATAGTACCTCTAGATAACTTAAGTTATTCTTAATCTAAATTAAAAACTATTAAAACTTCTACTATAAAGACTTTACTAGCTAAATTAAGAAAGTTATTTATATTACTACTTACCTATAAAGATAAACCCTTAAGTAGTTTAAACTTATCTAAGAAGAATTTCTTAGGTATAAGACCTTAGATAAATATTCTACTAAAATTTATAATATTTATAGTAACTTTAAGGGATTTAAAGATACCCTCTACTCTCTCTTCTAAAACCTTAATAAGAAATAATAAACTAAAAGAGACTTTATATAGCTATAATAGATAAAATTAACTAAAAAATATACTACTATATTTAGATAACTTAGTATCTAACTTAACCTTACTAAAGAAACTAAGATCTTTATATTCTATTAAGGACTTAAAGATAAAGTTAAAGATAAGATTATTAAGATTAATTACCTTAAAGACTTTCTCTAATATACTAACCTTACTATTAAAATTAATAATTAACTTTTTAAATACTATAAGGAAAAAGGTAAGAAATAATAAAGACCTAACTCTAGATATAAATACTAATAGTAGCCCTATTAGAAGTTTAACCCCTAATAGAATAATAGTAAACCTTATAATAACTAGAATAATACTTACTAGAGTACTACCTATAAATAGTATAATAGACCTATAGATCTTAATATAATAACTAAACTTAATAATAAAAAGCCTTAAAACCTTAAGTATTATAACTATAATAANAATAATAAAAAGCCTTAAAACCTTAAGTATTATAACTATAATAAATAAGAATATATTACTAAAAACTATAAGTAGCTTAAAAAGCTTCCCTAGAAACTAATAGCTAAATAACTCTAATAAGTTAATACTATTATAAAAACCTTATATATATCCTAATCTTAGACTAAATATTATAATAATAACTATTAAATCTACCTTAAAAATAAGGAAATATTAGGATACTACCTAAAAGATAGTAACCTTAGATAATCTAAATATAATATAACTACTCTAGATATATATTTAAGAACTCTAATAATAATATATATTAGTAATAATAAGATCTAAAGAAAAACTAGAGAATAACTAAATAAGATATTATAAATATAGTAACTCTAACTAATTCTTAGTTCTACCCCTAAAATAACTAATAACTAAAGTTAAACTAACTATAAACTCTTAAACTAAACTACCTATATAATACTAGAAGAATAGATAAAGGAAAAATCTAATAATAAGCTAAATTACTAGTATAACCCCTTAGAAGAATAGTAACTATTTAAGCTTATAAATAACTAGATTTTTAGAGAAAAAGAAGGTTTTCCTTATAACTTAGATAAACCTTATAATATTATATGCTAATATACTTAAGTAGAGATCACCTATAAGCTTACCCCTAGTATAAATAATATTAGCTCTAAAGAGGAATCTAAGAAGGATAATATACCTAAGCAAATTATATATAAATAAATTAACTTATATAATAATAAATAGTTTATTAAACTTTATAGTATACCTAATATAAAACTAAAAATATATTATACCTTATAATTCTAAATTAAAGATCACCTCTACTTTAAAATTACTAACCCTAACTATTAATACCTCTTTTAAGTATAGTGTTTCTTTAACTATTATAAAATCTATATAGGAGATAAATATAACTACTATTTCTAACCTAAGTAATATAATAATAATCCCCTATAAAACGTCTATACTATATATACCTTTACTAAATAGGAACTTAGAAAGTTTAATAGTAATATTACTATATTCACCCCTAGCTAATAATTTCCTATAAAATACCTCTATAATAAA